CAAAGGAGCAAGACTCCATCTCAAAAAAAAAAAAAAAGGGAAAAAAAAACCTATTATTCTCCCAAGACCCCAAATTTAGACTATAACCTGCTCAGGCAATGGCCAAAAGCCTGCGTTCTACATCCTTGCTATTTGTTAACCCCTACTGTCCTCCTGTGGACACTGTCATTTACTGAGCATGGACTACATGACAGGAATGCACAGGTAGGACTTTACATTCATCATGCGGTTTAATTCACCACCCTCTAAAGTAGGGCCTCTCTATGGATGAGAGGCTGAGGACAGAGTCTGACAGCACAGCAACAGTAGCAGAGGCCAGGCGTGATGGCTCACATGTGTAATGTCAGCACTTTGGGAGGCGCGGGAGGATCGCCTGAGCTCAGGAGTTCGAGACCAGCCTGGGCAATGTGGAGAGACCCTATCTCTTAAAAAAAGAAAAAAAAAAAAGAAAAAAGAAAGTCAGCAGAGCTTGGACCTGATCCTGAAGGTGATGGACATCAAGAAGTTAACTTGCAGAGCATGGGGGCACAGGAGGGGAGAATGTTCATGAGGACTGAGCAGGTATCTCTTTTTCTGTCTGAGTGACAAAAAAAATTTATGTGCAGCCCCCAAATCTCAGTGGCTTCTTTCAAGTTTCTAAAAAGAAAACCCATTTGTTCTGAGAAGTCACATTTCCTTCTGACATAAGTAACCCGGTTGCAGCAGGGAGGCCTCCTGATGCCACATGGGTAATGGGCAACTGACTGCCTGTGGAGGTGAGGTAAAGGTCTGAGGCAGCAGGGTCCTGTTCTCTAAAGGGCAAGGAGGACTGGCCACCCCTGGCTGCCTCGTCCTGAGGCAGAGCCCTCTGAAAACTGGGCTGGGAACGCCAGCCAGTCAGGAGACAAGAAAGACGTGCTAAAAAATGAACCACTACAATCTTAAAACATTTTATTGAATGCAGAAATTCTAAGGTACAAAAACATTTTGTAAATGTCAGCTGTGATCTACTTTCACGTATTTACAGAGTTATGTACAAATCAAATAAGTCATTAACATTTTCAATGTCAAAAATACAGCACACTGCTACAGTTCCATCGGTGCTTACTATCCCACCAGATCCCAAAAAGGACAAACTTAAAGATGAAACAAAGGCAACGCCATCAATAACCACTGCATTCCACAGGCTCTCTCCCCTAGGACATAGGAACAGGGAGTTTTCACAGGGAAAAATTCTCTTTTAAAAAACAGTAAAAAGCGGAGTTACTTACTGTCTAGATGAACACATTTGGTTTTCACAGAAGCTTTTGCTGCTGTCCAGACTCATCATGCTTTTCTCTTTAGAGAAACATACCAACCTTTTTAAAAAAACGAGCATGTTAGTGTAATCCAGTGGCAATTTTTTGTCTAACAACTGGAGCAGCTAATTTTGTCTACATCATGTACAAATAGAAGATTCCCTCTGAATCTTCCTGAAACTTTATATGATATAAACATCAGATATGTAGTCATAACTATTTGCTTTTGTGAGACTTCTGATTGTGCTTGGTCAATTGAGTGTAGAACATAAACAAGATCCTGGAGGTGTCTGTGGTCCCGGCTGAATTTTAAAGAGCAAAAGAGCAAGAGGGAAGACAACTGGCCAAAATTCCCCAGACAACTTCACTGGAGGATTCAAATGTCTTTGCAAATTAGCCCTCAAATGGCAATGGGAAGATGGCCCTTAGCGACTACTGCTGTTACCTCACCAGTGGTTAAACCGAAGTCTGCACCATTTAATATTGTGGGTCATGAAATAAAGGTGATGTCTATAGAGCTGTGTAAAAACAGTATCTAAAATTGGGAGGGAGAGGGTAGCTGCCACTCAGAAGGTAAGAGCTGGTCTCAACAGGGTATCTTGAAGGAGCTCAGGAATGACATTAATACATCAGGAATAAGCACCGAGTGTTTGATCTCAGGAGTAAAACAAACACAAGATATGATGGATGACTATCACCTAGGGAAAAAAATGTGATAGTATATAATGCTCAATGAATATAGGCAACATTCCATTTAGTAAAAGTGCCATTATAAGTGGTAAAGAGGAGATGGGTGTGCAAGAGTTTCCCCACAATCCCCACCCTGAGCCTGGTCTTCACAAGGCACTAATGTGAGTAAGGCACCAACATTCTGTTTGGGTAACTAAACGGAGTGTGAAGCTGAGAAACATTATAGCAGAGAAAATTATTAGGCCCCTGGAAAACAAGAGCCATGAAGAATGGTTTAAGTGGGTGGAATTATTTATCACTGAAATAAAAACACCAGGAGGATGACTTCACTGCGGTTTTTAAATACATGGAAGGTGACCAGCTGTTCTTTCTCCACTACATGCTGAACAAAAGGAAGCCGGCTTGAATTTCTGTAAGACATACAAAGAACTATCTGATCAGCAAAGTAGGTTACAGAATCTCCTTCTTGGAAAATACAGAATATCATCTACAGCCATGTCTGGAATAATTCAGGCACAGCCCTGTCTGACACCAGGGCGAGAACATGCTAGATAATCTAAACTTTCTCCAGTCCCTAAACTCTGAAACTGGAATCAGAGCTACTGGCTTGCAGTCAGATTTCCTTTTGTCTATTTTCACCCTAAGCCTGGAAAGGAAGTGATCTGGCAAGGGTGACCCAATACCCCACTTGGAATCCTAGCTGATAGCTCAACATCAGGAAAAGCTCTTCTCTGTATACTGTTTCACACCTCCAAAACAAAGTCAATTCACAGATCACTTAAAACGGAAGATAATGCAAATACCTGGCTCTAATGGACGCCAGGAGATTCCCTGCCTTACTCACTACAAATCCCTGCTTTCCTGATCATGTCTTGGCCGATGCTCAGAATTGCACACCATTTTAAAAAAATTATTATGCCAAGAGCTAAAACTATAAACAAGTTTAGCCCTTCAGGTTGTGGAGTTTAAGTGAAATTGTCCCTAGCATTTTTTTAAACTGAGAGAGCATAAATTTGATTTTGAAATTAACAACTGGCTTGCCTCTAAGACAACATGAAATGTAAAGATGCAATCAAGACATGTCCAATGCATTCAGAATCACATCAAATTTCTTTGCAGGAGAGACAGGAGAAAGAAGCAATCTAGCTACTGGCTGCATTTAGCAACAGCATTTTCTGTTGGCACCATCTCTAATTACTATGGATGCCTTTCACTTCAAATCTTATAAAGCAGAGGTGACAAACTGGTTGTCAGTGAAGCAAACCAAGTCCATCCACATCTTCTGCTGAGTCTAAATTCACTTAAATTTTTAAAACTTAGTTGCCAATATTTTTTAAAATTGGAATTTTTCAAATAAAAATCCAGATTGGCAGCTTCTCTTGAAAAATGAGAAGATCAGGAAATACTTCATAGCCACAGTCAACTGGAAAAGTGCCCCCTGTGGGTGGAACAGGAACACTTTAGTTTGCCACAGTCACCACCATTCTCTGTTTCTCTCTGACACTGACAAAGCGTATTAATTACCATTTATCATCACACAGCTGTTTTCCTTAAACCTCACGTGCTACACTGGCGACTCCCGAAGGCATAAGATCTACTAAATAAGAGCAGTAGTAGTCTAGTAGTCTTCACCAATAGAAAATAAGACTAGGAACCTTCACACTGGCATTGTCCATTTCTCTTCAATAAAGACAGAATATTTTCTCCCTTCTCAGGGAGCCAAATTAGCGTTGGAGTTGTGGGGGCCAGAGTTTTCTTTCTTTTGGGAGGAGGGTGTGTCATTTTTCCTCCAGGAATAAAATTGGTCCTCTTGCCCTTTATTTCTTTTAAAGGAAAAGATGCTCAACTATGAAAAAAAGGCTCTGAAAATCATGTAACCCCACATTTTTGGAAGGACAGTCTTCCTATTTGCACTGAAGTCAGGAGACCCTAGACCAGGTGTCCCCAAACTTTTTACACAGGGGGGCCAGTTCACTGTCCCTCAGACCGTTGGAGGGCTGCCACATACCGTGCCCCTCTCACTGACCACCAATGAAAGAGGTGCCCCTTCCTGAAGTGCGGTGGGGGGCCAGATAAATGGCCTCAGGGGGCCGCATGCAGCCCGCGGGCCGTAGTAGTTTGGGGACACCTGACCTAGACTAACAGTTGGTATTTTTGAAAAGATACTTGTGGCTATGAAGTTGTAAGACTGAACTTTGACAAACATATATAAATTTAAAGATCCATGACTTACTACATGTTGATCCCAATGATGTCGCCATTGCTAAAGACATTTTACTGAACTTCTGAGACTGTCTTCGGTTATTGCTAACGTGTCAATCAAAAACTCTGTCTCCTAACTTTACGGCCTGATCTCATTTTTGGCTCAAGATACTATTATCTGGCTGGGTCACCATCTGAATACCTGGGCCTGGACTGGAATGACTTTTGATTCTTTCTGGAGATCAGTTGCCTCAAAGGCCCAAGACAGCCCTCTGGAGGAGCTTCTGTACCCTGTATGGCTGAGCTGGGTCTGTTGAGGTGGTCTCTGTTGCTTGTAGCCAACCTCTGAGAACAACACACCTTTACCTGAGCTTTAACCTCCTTGATCACTCTCCTGGCAAAGCTGACTACATCAGATGCTAAGTCCTTTCTGTAAAGTGTTGGTAATTAAGATGAACAACTAGCACACTACCTTCAGCTACCTGCAGGCTTCTTGGTTTCCTGGAACCCTGGACTCACCCCTGGTCTCCTTTCTGAAGATATTGTCTAACCCAACCACACAAGCCTTTTACTCTCAAGATCAAGGTCTCTCATGGAGATTATCCTTGTTTTCCATTTCTTGTTTCCGCAATATCTAAAGGCCTGTGACTTGGCAGAACCTTTTTCTGAATTTCATCTTATTAATATCCATTGTCTGGGACAGTTTCTGAGTCAAAAAATGTAGCTTTGCTTAAAACAGATGTTTTGCCTTAATCTGCAGGGCAACAATTTCCATTTCTAGCATCATGGGGAGAGTAGAAAAAGTGAAACCAATGAAGCAAAACTAGGAAGTTGGATTTCTCAATTTATTCTCAGGCGATCACACTGTCGTTTCATTACTTGGTATATTAAGAGTTTGATTTTGTTGATCAGAAACATTAGTATTTCAATATAAGTATTAAAACCCTAAATCCAAACTAAAATATCCCCTGCTTTTTTAAGTGGCACTCCCTTTCCCCTTCCGTTCTCCTAGGGAGTGCATTCGTGCAGCAAGCTCCCTGCCCACACCCTCGGAACCCAGTTAATGCTCCTTCCCCCAGTCCTCCATTCTCTCCCTGAGGCCACTTTCTCAGAGACGCCTTATTTCATGAGCAAAGTTGAATATCCTAAAAGTGGTTCCTAACGGTTCCGTTGGGACAGGAAACATCTCTTGGCCTCAGTAAGAAATCTCTCATAATGTTCCAAGTGGATTTTCGTATGTTAGCAAGTTTGGACTAACCAATCTCCTTCACAGAACGTATGCCTAGGATGAAACGGCGGGGCAGTCATGTGTGGGCAGGAGATTTGCACTCATTCCAGATTTCACAGGAAGATGAAATGACTCGCCTCTGAGTTGCCTGGTTTTATGGGGAGATAGTCTTGCAGCTCACTGTCTCTCCCTCAGAGCAGCTGCAGGAAATTTGATGCCACAGAACAGACGAGCACGTTCTTCTCCCAAAAGCTGCCAGCTGCCTTTACAGAGCAGGGACTATGACATTTGCATCAGAAATATACACAAGAAATATACCCTTTCAAGCAGGGGTGCAAGCCCCCTTTCCCCGCCTGCCAAGCATGTGCTTGAAGGGAAAGTCCTGCCCCATCCCACCTCCCACCCTGCCTCAGGGTGTTTCTCAGCATACTCCTTCATGTTGGTCCTATCTGAAGAAGGAGTGAAAACCACAGTCCCTGGGGTGAATGCTGAGAAAACAGGGTGCCAAAATCCAACCCATGAGAAAGGTAGTGAGAGATGTCCACACCTGCTGTAAGGCACAGGGAGAAGGGTTTCCACAGGTGAGACCAAGACATTATTCACTACACACATGCTAGTCATCAGATGAGGTGTGAACAATTGTTTTTTCTTTAGAAACAGAAATTCTGTAGAAAGTCATTCATAAAAATGGAACATTTACTTTTGTGACTGCCTCCTCCATTCTCCCTTCTTAAAAAAAGAGGTTTGTCATTAGTCAAAACCAGTTCAGCAAATTAACTGGCCATCACCTCCACACACTGCTATATTTCAGTGAATTCTGATCTCTAATATTCAGGACACAGCTTTAGACCAGAGACTAACCAAAGCACGAACTGCAACTTCCAGTAATTCAGACCAGCTGGGTAGCAGTCTCTTAAGAATAAACTTCCAGACACCAACATCTGCGATATAGCAATAAATGTAACCCATGGAACAGCAGGCAGATCTGGCCCCTGCATGATGCCTACTCAGACCAAGAGGAGGCTGCCCGTGCTGAGGTCCTGGGGCCTTCTGCATGTTGACCAACCTATCTCAGATGGAATGGTCAAGATAATCGGCCAGGCCCTGTGACCTTCACTTCAGTCAGTCATGCCAGCCAGTAACACAGAGACTCATTTCATAAAAGGTGACTGTATATTCAGTCACTTTCTTGACTTTTGACTCAAAGCTTATTTAACACCCATGGCAAAGTTGATTCTACATCAAAAATAAATGAGGACATTATCTGCACTACAACACAGATTCTAGATAGACTGGCACTTGATTTCTGTGGCTGATGGTGTTAAAAGTGCCTTTTTTCACAAAGCATTTCAAATCAAGGTAGCCAATAGCAAACAGGCAAAGTTTGCAGAGCTCAATGAAGTCTGAATGATCAGTGCAGATATCTTCCTGTTTCTCTTTACATATTTCTTCCCTACCTCCCACAACTGGCTCTGATCCAAGAACTAACCAAATGTTGTTGTCAGACCTTACGGACATGCCTTTCAGATCTCCATATCATTTTAGAAAATTGGAGAGTTTGCCCAGATATCTGGTAGAGGGTTGGGGCAAGGGAGAACAAGTACTGGCCGGCATTTCACTCCAAATATCCTTGCATGAGACCTCAGCTCCAAGTGGGCCATGAAACCAGGGAGATTAGCTGGGGAACCGGAGGGAGGCAGCAGCTAAAGTGGCAATGCTTAGACTCTTCCATTTTTGTTACAAAGGGGCAACCGCGTGGAGTTCATCAATGCAGCTGCGGCAACCAAGTTCTGCTTTGCACGCCCCAGAAGAGAGGAGCTTGGAAGGAAGGGCAGGAGGTTCCTCCTCACCTAAGGAGAGAAGAGAATACAGACTCACACTGTCATTGCATTTCACTGGGCTGGGTGCTCATGCCAGAATGTGGCTGGATCTGGGTTTGGACTATGGGCTTTGTATAAATGAGGCAAGAATCCCAACCTGCTCAAGATGGTGCACTCTCATCCTCCTAACAGGCTCTAGTTCCCTTAGTTGAGGAAGGAAGAGATCTTTCTTAAAAGTCAAGGGTTTGTATGCATGACTCCAACCAGTTACAGACATGGTAAGGTGCAGCCTGAGATGGCATGCAGCTGATGCTTCCTGGGGAAGTAAGCCCTCCTACAGAGCCCTCACACCTGAGACCCTGGGTTGAGCTAAGATAGAGAGAATACTGTACCCATGAATCCCAGGCTCAATGAATGTAGCTTTAAAGAAAATGGGGGGCAGTGAAAACTATAGGTGGAAAAAAGGCACGACTGTTATCCAAGACCCTTGAAGTCCAATGTGTTTTGGTGTTCTGATGTTTCTGGAGTTTAGAAACGTGATACAGTGCATACACTGTATGTTGCACAATACCCCTTGCAGGGACTGGGCAGCTCACCATAATTTGGCTTGGTATTTCTGCAACTCAAACATGTGAGTGTTCCCATCACCTGGGATAAATCAAGACTACCAAACAAGCTGTGTTCTCATCAGGTTTCATTGCTCAGTAAATTAACACCAAAATTGGAAAACGCTTTGACTGATTACAGAAGCATGGCCGAAGGCTGTGGTCTATTAGGACCTCGCCCCAAAGGCACCTTACCCAGGCCTGAAGAAGATGACACGCTCTCTGTCAGCGAAGACGTTTCTGTCTGGTCCGTCGAGAGTCCTTCCATCAGTGGCAGAGACAGCTCAGATGAGGGCACAGACGAGTCATAGATGCCCGAGTCCCGCGGCATGTCCGAGGGGCTGCCGGCTTTCACCGTGTGCAGCAGCGGCAGCAGGGCGGCACCACCGTCAAGGGCTGGCCGGGCCTCCGCGTCTTCGTCCAGGGCCCCGTGCTGACTCTCGAGCTGGCAGTCGGCAGGCCCAGTTGCCCCAAGAACGGCCGCCTCTCCCTTTAGGCAGAAGTCGTTCTCCGGCCCTGGTTTGCACATGACATCATTTAAAACCAAGCCCGAATCAAATTTCTCCGAGACTGGCTCCCGGTAGTGCAGTGGAGGAGGATGAAAGGGAACGAATTGCTTTTCGAACCAGTCCGGCTCCTCGTCGATAAACTGGTGCATGTTGCAAATGGCGACGTACAGGGACCGGCCTGACTTGCTCCGGAAGTAGTTTCTTCTGCTGCCGTGTCGCCCGTGCTGCCCCGGCTCCCGGAAGGCATGGTCTTGCGAGTGCAGGTGGGAACAGAGCTGGGGAAGATTGTCCATGAGTTTGTACTTGGTACTCAGGTCTAGGACAGCAGGGACGTCTCCCTCACAGGAATAATCAAAGTAGACAGCGATGAACTTGCTGAGTGCCGCGGACGAACTTTGCTTGGCCTGGCGGAGCTTTTCGGCAATGGCTGACACCGCCACCAGGAAGAGCTCTTCTTTCCCGGAGCCTCGGCCACCTCCTTTGTGTTTGTAGTTCTTCTTGTCCACAAAGTACTTCATGCCTTTGGAACAAACCACAATTATGAACTGGGATTCGTGGATCTTCTGGATGACCCATTCTCTCTGCCCTTCTCTACAGAGGCTGAAGTCTTCCCACAGGTCCAGAACCACCTGGAAAGAGAACAAGGCACCTTACCCACACGGAGGGCTCAGGAAGAGGCTCAGGAAGTAACAAGGAGGGGAATGTCAGAAGGAGGCCACCTCCTCTGCCCCTTAACCCTTATTAGCACAGCTATGTGCAGGCTCCAGGTTACCCCGTACCAAGGAACAGCTAAGGTTCCGTGGGTGACGGTCATACCACTCTAGTCCCTCTGCAAAGACTTGCCATCCAGCAGTTCATTTTAGTATCACATGGAGTCATTACCACTCCTGCCATACAAGTGAGGGGACGGAAGCACAGCACTTGTGGCACCTTGCCCAAGTTACACCCTACATAGGACATCCTCAAGGAAGCAAGAGGTGGCAGAGAGCACAGGACAGAGAAACTGAGGTTGGCTGATCTGGTGAGTGAGATGCCTGGATTGGAGGGGGCAGATCCCGGAGAAAAGGCTGGAGGCTCTGAGAGGAGGATGTGGCTGAGTGATTCCAAAGTGAGCTGGAAGATGAGGCTCAGGCCTGGATGCCAGTCACCCACAATTATAGGTGACTCACATCCAGAGAGTGACTGACAAAGAGGACCATGCTCAGCCATGCTATTTACCAGTTGGTCCAAGGCTGGAGAGGAAGCTAGTGAACTGCACTAACATGGTCATTCTGAGTAACTCACTTAGGAGTGACTAGCACCTTCCTCTATGGCTTCACACAGGTCTACAGGACTATATCTCTATAAGGCTGGTAACTGACAAGGCTTTACCCCCAAAGGGGGTCTTGGTAGGGAGATTATGGGGGTGGGTGACAAAGGAAAGAAAACCAGACATGTGTGGCCCCTCAGAGGACTTCATTTTCTCAGAGCATTTTCATTTAATTCTGCTGAAAACATCTCTTCGTGGTGGTGGTGGTGTTTTTCCTTCTGTAGTTCAGATATTATTTCCCAATGGCTATGACCAAACACAGCAGCCCCATTCTCTTCTGGGGCTGAAATGACTTTGTTCTTTTCTCTAAGATGTTACCAAAGGGGAAAAAGCCCAACATCCATCCACTTGCTGAAAATAACCCTGAATTGTCTTATACTTTCCTTAATTCTTGCTAACATTACACATGCTAAAAGCTCAGTGGGAGTATAGATCAAGGGTTTGTTTTTTTGTTTTTGTTTGTGGTTTTTTTGTTTTTTGATTTTTTTTTTTTTTTTTTTTTTTTGAGACGGAGCCTTGCTCTGTTGCGCAGGCTGGAATGCAGTGGTGCGATATCGGCTCACTGCAACCTCCGCCTCCTGGGTTCAAGCGATTCTCCTGCCTCAGCCTCCTGAGTAGCTGGGATTACAGGCATGCACCACCATGCCCGGCTAATTTTTTTTTTTTTTTAATTTTTAGTAGAGATGGGGTTTCACAGTGTTGATCAGGCTGGTCTTGAACTCCTGACTTCATGATCCACCCACCTCAGCCTCCCAAAGTGCTGGGATTACATACATAAGCCACTGCATCCGGCCATACCAAGCATTTTTATTTTATTTTATTTTTTTTAGGCTAGTCAAGTGAAGCAGTGGGAGCATACCAAGCATTTTTTAAATGTTCCTATCTTTGACCCAACAATTCCATTTCCAGGCATCTTTCTTGGGAAATCATCACAAATGGGACAATATTGAACATGAGATGTTTAATTTGTATTTGTATTAACTCAGTTATGGCAAATCAACATAGAGGCTCATGTAGCTATTTAAAATTGCAATTTACATATAACTACTAATAGTGTAAAAAATTATTAAGAGATGACAAAAAATTATTTCAGTCAGCCCCAATGGCAAAACTGTATGTGTGAGTTCACCTATACAGAAAAAGACTGGAAGGAAATAAACCACACGTGAACTGTGGGTTCCTTTATCTCAGATTTTCCTTAATCAGGTTGGAATTCCAGACAAATGTTTTATTTATCATCCCTTTTTAGTTCCAAATTTTCTAGAGTAACTATTTCACTAATAACTGGAAGAGCGTTTTCCCTAGAGGCTAAATTGCTGTGAAGTAGAGCAAACTTGGTTGACCAGTGGTATCTGAAAACTGTGCTATTGGCTAGAGTGCAATTATTTTTCAGCACATGCTGATCCACCAGTCTCACCGAGTTCATGTGGCTAGGGAGCGGGGAACTGGGCCAGAGTAATATGTTATATTGACACTAGGGGGCAGCCTCACCACATGGAGAGGTTCTGAAAAACACGAGAGTTTCAGACTTACTCGAAAAATATACAATATGACATTATAGAAAAGCATATTAATAACATATTACATATTAATAACTTAAGAGAACAGCTAATAAACCAGAGCAGATCATTTGAGTGCTTGACACAATATTGTTTTCTGGGAGTGCTCCCTTCCCACTTCCCTGTTTTCTCTGGCCAGTGCCCTCTCCTGCATCACCAGTTTCTCCCTCTCCATGATTCCACCAGTCAATGGTCAAACAACTTCACAGAGCCCTTATATCACTTCTCCCTAGACCTTGAGATCCCCTCTAATGGCAGCCACATCCTTCATTCCCCTTCTCAGCAGAACTCCTCCAAACAATTGTGTGCAATTCACTGCTTTCCTTGCCACTCTCTTTGACCCTACAAATGGGATTTCTGTCCTGAACATGCCCACGAAGATGTCCTGAGCGACACTCCTTAACCCCAATTGCATGTTTCCATGGAAGTTACTGGTCTTCCTAATACCAGGGAGGTGCCACGCAAGGCCTTAAAGCAGGAGCGTGTCAGAGTTACAAGTAAGTATTATGAAATATTTAGTGCTAGTGATGAGTAGGACAGACTGAAAAAAGTGTGAGACTATCCCCAGTTTGAAAGCTGTGGCACCAGTCAAGGGCAGGTGTCACCACAGGAGGCCCAGAGGAGAGGAGAAGGCAGAAGGGAGAGAGTAGGGGGCAAGTGTCTTGGCCAGGGTAAGAGAAGGAACTTTAGATTCCGCACCTCACAGCCACAGAAGTCCTGCAGGAAGTAGGCGAAACACTGGACAACATTCATGTGATTCTGGCCATCTTTACTGGAATAGCAGAGAAAGACCTTCGGCCGCGGCCGGAGCCTCTCTCTCGGGAGTGCTGCAGTGTATGTGGAAGCCTCAGAGCTCTCTTCATCTAAATGTGAATATATATTTTCTAAATTGGAAAAGAAGATAGAGTTGATACCTACAAGCAATGCTTTGTTCTGTACCCTAAGACTTGGAACCCAGTGCTGTCTTCAAGAAAGAACAGTTGATATGTCTACCTAGAGCAGTCCCAGTCCCCAACTCCATCAGCCCCTTGGGTCATCACTTGGAATGAGACAGCTGATTTCTGCAGTGGAGCAACAAATGGTTAAAAAAAATTGTTCTTCACCTGAAACTGACCTTGGATAAACTAAGAAATGCTGCAGGGGCCACCCTGGTTAGCAGAATGCCCAGACCTGACTCTTACAGCCAAGTGCACCTACTAGACCAAATCAAGCACTGGCAGAGCCGATATTTTTTATAGGAGTTTTTATTGAGGTATAATTTATAAAAGTAAAGTACATAACCCTTAAGTGTACATCTCAGTGAATTTTTATGGAAATACACAACAGTGTAACCTTCATCCAGAACAAGTGATGGATCATTTCCAACTCCTCAGAAGGTTGTCTCATGCTGATGTTTGTAAATGATCAAGCCCTGCTATATCCTTACTTATACTTCAGGCTTCCTTTATGTCCCTGAATTTACTATCCTATGTTTGAAAATAGAATTACGTGCCAGGCACAGTGGCTCATGCCTGTAATCCCAGCACTTTGGGAGACTGAGGCAGGAGGATTGCTTGAGCTTAGGAGTTCAAGACCAGCCTAGGCAACATAGTGAGACCCCATCACTACACAAACAAATTATTATTTAATTAGCAGGTGCATGCCTGTAGTCCCAGCTCCTCAGGGGGCTGAAGTGGGAGGATGGTGTAACCCCGGGAAGTCCAGCCTGCAGTGAGCTATGATTGTGCCACTGCATTCTAGTCTGGGCAACAAGCAAGACCTGTCTCAAAATTGTGTGTGTGTGTGTGTGTGTGTGTGTGTGTGTGTGTGTGTGTGTGTATAAAATGATGCCTATCTTTCTAGTAGCTCCTGAGGTTAAAAGCCAAATATTTTAGTTCTGGGAACTGAATAGGATATGAGGCTTCCCAGGTGCCAGCCTGGAGGACCCAGGTACACCGAGTCTCCCTCTCTGTTGGCAGCAACCCCTGGTCTGCCCCTTGTTGTGGGGAGACACAGCACTCAAAGAGATACCTTGTTGCTTCTTGCGGCACATCACAGTGAAGAGCGTCGCGAATGCCGATATGACCACCAGTGGTACTGTGATGGCCACGGCTCTGATGGGCCCAGCCCATGGGGAGTGCACTGGGAAATTTCAAAGGGAAAGCTTTAAACTTAAGCAGTGTAAAGGTTCAAAGAGCAACAACGTTTTTCTTTTCAAACATAAGCCACATAACAGGTTCTAGGACCTTCCAACCTTCCAACTTTCTCTAGTGCTGGTTTGGTGATTATAAAAGGAATCAAAGGTTCATTTTTTAAGAGTTGCAAAGAACTATTCAACAGTTAAGAGTCAGGCTGGGAGATTAAATACCTTCGAGTGAGAATTTTGCCTAAGGAAACCTCCCCTCCCCCCACTTTTCTTCAGAGGACAATTGACTATTTATCCAGTCCCAGCTGTACACACCAAACTGGCTTTAATCTTCCAGGTATCCACATTAGAGTGGAAGGAAAGTCAGATTTGATGGAATATCTTTTAAGAGAGAGGAGCCGAATTTTGTTTTGTTTCTATAAACCATGAAGTATAAAGAATATCAAATACTTTGGTCTATAGTAGTCTAGGGCCAAAATTTCAAACGGCAACAAAAAAAATACCTACCTGGCTTTAAGGCATAGTGCATCACTTTTCTTGTCGTGTTAGTGTCATCCACCAGCTGCAAAACAGAAGATGCTGCATTATTATTTTTAAGTGATATATACCAGGTAAGTAGAAAAACAGTAATTTCATTCATTTTTTCCATCAGTGGGCTGTGCGGGAAGGGGTGGGAAGCAAGTAGAGGAGAAGGGCTGAAGGAAAAGAGCTGCTAGAGCCTGTAATCATCTGCCAGGCTGAGACTTGGCATCACGTGTACTCCGGTTCATCTCTGCTTTCCCAACTCTAAACTCTAAACTTCATCATGTTTTCTTTTATTAATAAAAAGGCTATGTATTCATCGAAGAAGTCAGCTGGTGAGTACCAGGTTCTAATCATGTTCAATTAAACTGACATCCTCCCACTGATGTTACTGAGCCTCCATTAATGCTTTAAGAAGGTATGTCGGCCAGGCGCGGTGGCTCACGCCTGTAATCCCAGCACTTTGGAAGGCCGAGGCGGGTGGATCACGAGGTCAAGAGATCGAGACCATCCTGGTCAACATGGTGAAGCCCCGTCTCTACTAAAAATACAAAAAATTAACTGGGCATGGTGGCACGTGCCTGTAATCCCAGCTACTCGGGAGGCTGAGGCAGGAGAATTGCCTGAACCCAGGAGGCGGAGGTTGCAGTGAACTGAGATCACGCCATTGCACTCCAGCCTGGGTAACGAGTGGAACTCCATCTCAAAAAAAAAAAAAAAAAGAAGGTGTGTCAGTCTAAAACCACACACTGCTTCCAAGGAATGCAAGAACTGGGTGTTTCTACCAAAATGTTAAGACATGTTGGTTGTCTTTGAATGGCAGGACTATGGACACATTGTTAATTTCCTTTTCTATTTTCCTTATACTCTAATATTTGTAGTACCAATTCGATACTGGAAAAGAAATCTTAAAAAGGAAATGAAACATTACATTTACATGTTCTCTGAAGTGGTGTTTAGAACTCCTTTATACTTACATAGATTAGCAACAGAAACAGAGAAGGGTAGGCAAAAGTAATGGGCATAACCGATTTTGCTGTTTTCATACAAAAACAAAAAAATTTTAAGCCAAAATATTGAAAATGTATCTTTGTAGTATGAAGGAATACTAGAGATTTTAAGCCATAGTTATATACAGACCATATGATTACATAAAAATATTTATTAGAAATATTTAATGAAAAGATCAAGGATCAATTATATATAAACTTTTTTTAAAAGCATGTTAAGAACCATATAAAAATATAACTGTGCACACCTTCAATGGCTTGAAATTTTAGTGTTGTAAACAGTTGGAATTCTATATGAACTGGGTTCATTCTATAGTATTAATAGGGCTTTCTTGTGTTATGCATACCTCAATTATATAATCCCCTGGAGAAACATTTTGAAGGAGGCAGCTGGTTGTCTCTGTGTTTTGCTCCTGCAACAGACCAAAGAACACTTTAAAAACTCACCTCTTAGACAAAGGTCATCAAGGACATCTCTTCTGCCCCAGAGCTGAAGGAGACTTGCCACCATTTTCAACCACAGTTTTCACAAAAGGTGATTAGGTCAGAAAGCAACTGTGTTTATCTGCCATGTGTTATCTGAACTTCCCTTTGATAAGAGGCCCAGGACAGCCCATGACCCCTGCCATAGTCTATGCAGCTGGTAGCACCCTCAGCAGGAATATTTAATTTGAAGACAAAGTAACTAGTTTGAATAACCTTTACTTAATAAAAGGGTGGGGAAAGAAATGACCAGTCTGTGTTTATACATATTTTATTTGCCACAATTTTAACATGGACAGAAGGTCAAAGACCTTGATGGAGATGACAGCCGGCAAGAAGAACAAACAGTGACAGAACCCAACATACACAGGAGCTTGTCTAAGGAGGTACTGGGCTTTGTCACCACAACCAAAAATTTTATTGGTACCCACAGTGGGTGATCGGGCAGTCCTTTGAACATTCATGAAATGGTTTCCACTCTTCTGATCACCCCAGTTTAAGGGCTCGGTTACTCAATGACTATTTAACCTTGGCCTATTTGTAAAATCAGTACCACTGAATTAACAGTGGCTTGGCTCCTAGATCTGGTTTTTCCATTTACTAGCTGTGTGGCCTTAAGCAAGCCAGGTGACCTCCCTGAGCCTCAGCTTTCCCATCTGTAAAATGGAGATGACAACAGCCTCTGTCTCACAAAGTGGTGTGGCTTCAGGGAGCATAAAGCTCAGGACCTGCCACGAAGTGAGCACTGATGAATGTTTAAAACATAAAAGGACAGGCCAGGCATGGTGGCTCATGCTTGTCATCCCAGCACTTTGGGAGGCCAAGATGGACGGATCATTTGAGGTCAGGAGTTAGAGACCAGCCTTGGCAACATGATGAAACCGTCTCTAATAAAAATACAAAAATTAGCTGGGCGTGGTGGCATGCGCCTATAATCCCAGCTACTCCAGAGGCTGAGACAGGAGAATCACTTGAACCCAGGAGGCGGAGGTTGCAGTCAGCCAAGATCACATCACTGCACTCCAGCCTGGGTGACAAAGTAAGACTCCATCTCAAAAAAAAAAAAAAAAAGCCCGTGTGTGTGTGTGTGTGTGTGTGTGTGTGTGTATCTAGCATATATATATAGACAAATGAGAAATACTTAATTCTTGTGTATTCCTTGGCAATACTGTTACCAGGCTATATCATCACCAGGACAGCTGGGTTATAGATAACTAGGGAGAAAAGGACAATGGCAAACGGCCCTGAGACGTGCCCAGTGATTACATTCTCAAGTATTTACTGACCACTGAGAGGAAACAAACTGGTGAAATTTTAGTGTTGTAAATTTCTGAAACACCACTTCTAGCCACTGCGAGCCAACAAAGCCTAATGCTCACATTAATCAACCCAAATTCCAGTGGCCCAAGGCGGGGGTCCCTTTGAAACACAGTGTTCCTTTATGTACACCCAGCAGCTCACCTGCTTACAGGTCTTTCGCTTGAAAGGTCCTTCGTGCTTGAGCTTGTAGTGAAGATAGAAGAAACGGAAGCCGAAGTTGTGCGGTGCGTGATCGAAGGACACCTGCATGTCCAAACCATGCTGGCTGATATTCAGGTTCCGAGGCTTCCAGACTGGAAGGAGGTAGGACCCAGAGTGAGCACCCAGAGGCTACCCCAACACCATCACCGTGGCAAGACTTTGAGACTTGATAGATAAGAACACAATTACTTACAGGGTTTACAAGCCAGGTTGTCCGGCTGTAACAACAGGTCACAAGCTATTAAGACAATAAAGACACATGTTTTTAGTTTTAGGACAGTTTAGCCTTTTCTTCTCCCAACAACCCCATGAAATATAAAGATACTGTGCTGGGTGATGCTAGAAAAGGTATAAAATACATCAAATTCAACAATGATTTTCACTACTGTGCAGTTGTATCTTACGAAAATTTAAATGGTACAATATAAAAATATCAATGCAATTTACTTTATGCCACATAAATGGTAACAGTGTAAAGTCATCCAGATTCTAAAAGCTTGTCAAGTATTACGTAATAATTTCAAGGCTGGTGGCCAAGGGCAGCAGGGCTATGTTCGTGCTACAGTCACATGGAGGCTCTGTTTCAGCTGTATACAGAAATGATGCCAGCCCCTCCCCATTGCGGAGATGTTTAGGCACAAGAGAACTTTGGAGCGGTCCTAGTAGCTGCTATAGGATTATTTTAACCTTCACTAGTATTCTAATTTAAAATGCTTTTGATGGTTTCTCAAAATGACATGCAGGCATAGAAGTAGTAGTGTCAGCACTGAAAACCAGGTACCAAAGCCAATAGCTTTTAAACAGAATCTAAATGCAATAAAAACACAATGAGAGAGGCCCAACAGCTAGTCCACTGTGTCATACTACTTGCTGACCCAGGGAGCGTCTCCACATAATGCCAAGAAAACTGAAGGCAGCATCAAAACCACAGTGCACTGAAATGGTGATAAATGTTTACATTCCAGGAACACACACCCTGCCTCCACCTTACCCCCAAAGAGACACATTGATTCCATGCCAATGGGAAAAATTCATCTTAAATTACACTAATTTTGATTTAGGTGAGGCTTTCATAAATACATTCTTTGAATCTTCTTTCTGGTTATTATGTGCAAGTCATCCAGAGATGATGTGACATACACATGGTCTTTGCTTTATGAAATCTTATTTTAAGAAATGAGACCAATTGTTAAAATAACTATGATGCATAGAAAACAACCACAGTAAGAATTCTGCAGAGGGAGACATTGGTGTAGGCTTGAGTTGCAAACAGAAACATCATAATAGATGAGGACTGCAACCAGACCTCACAGGAGGGGATGTCAGACAGGACTGACCATCCAAGGCCTTGAATGGCAGAAAGACTGATCAGGAAAGCAAGAAGGAGCTGCTACTGGTTGCAGGATGACCAGCCACCAAAGTTTGAAAGCAGTGCTGGGTCCAGTGTCTTGTGCTTGTAATCCCAGCACTTTGGGAGGCCAAGGCAGGCGGATCACCTGAGGTTGGGAGTTTGAGACTAGCCTGACCAACATGGAGAAACCCCATCTCTACTAAAAATACAAAATTCGCCGTGTGTGGTAGTGCATGCCTGTAATCCCAGCTACTCGGGAGGCTGAGGAAGGAGAATGGCTTGAACACATGAGGCAGAGGTTGCGGTGAGCCGAGATCGTGCCATTGCACTCCAGCCTGGGCAATAAAAGCAAAACTCTGTCTCAGAAAAAAAGGAAAAAGCAAGCAGCAACTCAGAAGATTAAAGAGATACCCTGTACAGAACAGAAGGTGAGTGACCCAGCACAGCTGGTGGTTGAGCTCAGAGCGTGGATTCCAGAGTCAGACTTCTGGGGTTCAAATCCAACTCTCTGTAAGCCCTTTACCTTCTCTGTGTGTGATTCGACATCTAGTAAGTGGAGACAGTACGATTAAATTCTTCGTAGGGTTGTCACAGAGGTTGTTTGGAGTTAATATTTGGAATGCATTTAGAACAGGGCCTTGCACATAGACATTAAATAAACAGAACTTTCTAGAAAATGTTTGCTTAATCTAGTCCTAAAAATGACAGGCCACCCTCCTGATAACAGGTAAAAAATGGGATTATTTCATGCTCCTGCCCTTTACCATAAAATCAACACACTTTTTATTCCCGTTTTTTTTTTCTTTAATCCAATTGTTTTGATACATGGCTTTATTTTTTTTTTTTTTTGAGATGGAGTCTGGCTCTGTTGCCCAGGCTGGAATGCAGTGGCGTGATCTCGGCTCACTGCAACCTCCCCTTCCAGGTTCAAGTGATTCACCTGCTTCAGCCTCCCGAGTTGCTGGGACTACAGGCATGTGCTACCACACCCAGCTAATTTTTGTATTTTTAGAGTAGAGACAGGGTTTCACCAACTGGCCAGGATGGTCTTGATCTCTTGACCTCATGATCCATCCACCTCAGCCTCCCAAAGTGCTGGGATTACAAGCATCAACCACTGCGCCTGGCCCCACGGCTATCTTTTTTAACTAGAAATGGGATCTTGCCATGTGGTCCAGGTTGGCCTCAAACTCCTGGGCTCAAGCGATCCTCCTGCCTCTGCCTCCCAAATAGCTGCAAGTATAGGCATGTGCAACAGTGTATGCAGGGCTGTCTTTGTGGTAGTCACAGCATCCTTAAAAATATCAACTGTCAAGTCTGTTCTATAAGCCGGGAGTAGATATATCTGGTTAGATGAACAGTGTCTGTACCTAACCTTAAATCTGTAAAGTGCTTTTCTGGATGCTTTTCTCCTTGCCATGCTTGTTTCATACTAGTCTTTGGCATGTTCTTTTTTTTCTCCCCAGAGACAGAGCCTTGCTCTGTCACCCAGGCTGGAATGCAGTGGCGTGATCTCGGCTCGCTGTAACTTCCACTTCCGGGTTCAAGTGATTCTTCTGTCTCAGTCTCTCAAATAGCTAGGATTACAGGCGCCCGCCACCACGCTTGGCTAATTTTTGTATTTTTAGTAGAGACAGGGTTTCACCATGTTGGCCAGGCTGGTCTCAAACTCTTGACCTTGTGATCTACCCTCCTCGGCCTCCCAATGTGCTGGGATTACAGGCATGACCCACTGTGCCTGGCTTGGCATGTTCTTGAATACATTTCTGCAGAAAAGTCATTAAAAGCAGGAGAAAAGGCTTCTCATGGGAACCAGACAGGAAAGACCATACTCACCTCGTGTTCTGAAGAAAAAAGGGTGGTAATTGCTTTCGTTTTTAATGGAAGGAAAAGGGACCACCTTTACAAAATAATCCGTTTCAAATTTCATATTCAGGAAAGGTTGAGATTCCATTCCCTAAAAGGGAACAAAAACACAGTGACATCATGGAGAGATCACCCACCCTCCACCTACACAAGGTCTTCGCTCCTACCCCAGCTGCCACCCAGACAGAACTCCAGATCTGTAGGACATGTTCTGGGAAGGCAGGAAGTCAGGTCTAGTTGCTGGGCCAACTTGAGGTTTGGATTGCTTAACCATGAAGATGGACAATGCAGTCTGCTTTTTGGCAAAGAATCCATGGCTTGTTAATATTGAATCTCAGAGTTGGGGGGCAGGGTGAACCCACATACACTCTTCGGAGCACAAAGACACCTTCCAGGATTGCTGTTCTAGCAGTAACCCAAGAGGCGTGTTTACACAGAGAGGTGCTGAAGAGTTTCCCTGGGAGCGTGGAGCAGGCTCAAGGCGCTGCTGTACCATTCTTGCCCACGCTGGCGGGTGGGGTGGACCCCACAGCCCCTCCTTCTCAAATTTCAGACTTTGAATAGACCATTCAGGCCCCCAGAACAATGGCATGTCTTCAGGAGCACATTCCCCAGTGTGACTCACAGTTCTTTTGAAGCTACTGTTGAGCTGCTTCGGGTCCTTTAGAATCAGTTGTTGGCACTGTCTTCCCTCCGACTTCAGCTCTTCCAGTATGACCCGAAATCCTTTCAGGAATTCAATGCCTGAGCAAAGCAGAGTGCTTTTGTTAATAGTGAACCAATCACTTCTGAACAGATTCTCCTTCCTCCAAGATTGCCATCTTCTCTACCTACACACCAGAGCTAAAGGAATTCTAACTCTGGCCAAGGTATCTGAGTCTATAGAATGAAAAAAACATATCCCCTGCATTCCTCTGGTAAAGACCAGGTGATTTTCTCCATCACACCATTACTAATTAATCCCTAATCCAGCCAGCTATTTCATAAATACCCATTGCCTCTCTGGCATTAGGGTTCAAATATTTAGACTCCAGTTACAATTTATCATATAAAGCCTGAAGTGGAATATATAATTTCTAGGTCATTACACAGAGTACATTCAGCTGATAATTCCCAGTGTTGACTAGGGAATCCCCCAAAACCATGTTTCCACTTCAAGTTTTAGCTCTATATTTTTTGGCACGTCTCACTGAGCAACATACAAAATTCCCAACAAATTGTGTCTGGACCCAAGGGGTTCTGAGGCTTGAGATTAAATAGCTTAGGGGAATGCCTATGTGATTTACAAAGCGGTTCTTGCTCTAATCATGCCTGAAAGGCAGACACCCAAGGGCTGCCCAGTGTGTGCTCTTCATACAGCCTCTGAGGCCCCGAGACACCCACAGCGCCACTGAAAGGCGCCAGCCCAGCCTCCTGCCACCTGAGCTCCCCCCACTGCACGTCCGACTAGATGCTTTCAAAAGGATTAAGCTCTGATGGCCACAAGAGCCAGCACCGGGGCTGTGTATCCCACGGAGACTGAAGTGGTCCAACTGCAGCTGGAGAGCCCCAAAGCCTGCCACAATTGGCGAGATATCGATTTCACATTCTTTCTGAACATTTTCAACCCTTCCCCTCCCAGGACAAAAGTAATTACACAGGATGCAATTAAGCAGGTGGGAAATTTATTGATGATAAAGGCCAGGAAAACCTTTTTCTCTTTCAAATAGGTTCTCCAATCCTATAATTATTTGATGAAGAATACATATTTCATGGCGGGAAGGGCAGAGGAGCAACAATTAGAGCTTCACGTTTTAGGGTTTCAGAGCATTATTGTGCACAGGTACAGACTCTGCCATGTTGTACTTCAATTACAAAGCTTCCTGTTGGGATGAAAGCCAACTGACCAACCAACAGAGATTCAGACAAGGTGATGACAAAGTCGTTAGACCAACAACTACTTAGATCTCACAAGACTTGCCTTTCGAGATAACAACAAAAAAAAAGGGTTTTGTTTGTTTGTTTGTTTTTGTTTTGTGAGACAGAGTCTTGCTCTGTCTCCCAGGCTGGTGTGCAGTGGCACGATCTCGGCTCATTGCAGCCTCTGCCTCCCAGGTTCAAGAAATTCTCTTGCCTCAGCCTCCCAAGGAGCTGGGACTACACGCACATGCCACCACACCTGGCTAATTCAAAACAAGTTTTTTAAAACAAATCCTCAGTATTAATACTAAGATTTAATGTATGCAACATTCCCAGAATGACTGTTTAACAAAAGCCAGGTGATTAATATGATTAACAGCCATACATCTCACAATTACATAAAAATTCATCAGTTGAGGTGGCAAGGGGTGGTTCTTGTTCTTCTTTTTAAAAGACTAGCCTAAAAACCACCATGCCAAGGTTCTGGGACTGAGGAAAGAGGCAGCAAACGTAATTCCTTTATCACTTTGACACATTATAGTACTATTAACACCTTGTAGTTATGTAATGATTAGCAATTTTATAGAGCAGCTTCCCATGAAAGAACTTATTTGCTCTCTCTCCCATCATTTAAACTCATCAAATCCTCCCAACAACCAAAGGAGGAAGATGTTATTATCCCCATTTTACAGATGAGGAAACTGAGGTTTATAGCAGCCAACTGGTTTGCCCAGGGTCACACAGAAATAAAATGGCAGAGGTGAGATTTGAACCCAGGAAGTGGCTCTCAGCCAGTTCTCTTAACTGATATGCTTTTCTACCTGCCAAGAAGTGTCCTTGATAGAATGTCACAGAAACTCTCCAGTCACTCCCACCCTTAAAGCATCATTCAAGAAAAGTACAGACTTCTGCCTGTTCCATGTCAGTTTTCCTGCCATCAGCTCACATCTCTTACTGTCATTCTAATGAGGCGGCCTGCAATTCATCAGGCTAACTCCTTAACCATTTAAGCCTTACATGGAATGACCACTTCCCTTTTATCTACAGAAAATGTTTTTAATCTTTAAATGTTAAGATAATATTATTTTTGGAAACCCCAGTGGGTTAAAACCCAGAAGTATTGATATGGAGAAGTGGTTCTGCCCATGGGTCTGCTCCATCCTCCCTCTCCTGCACACAATCTTCCTGCAATCTGGTTCTTCTGAGATTTATCCTGTTCAGATTAAGAAATTCAGACTTTATTTTACTTCTCCCTTGGCCAGGATGTTACAGATTTGTAAGATCAGGCGGTAGAGTCAAAGCAGCAGGCCCAAGAACCAGGTTCTGATCACGGTAATAGCAGCCACTATTCTTTGAGAGTGCTCTGAAAATGTACCATGGGTGTCTCTAACCGTGAGGCAGTTCTCATCTCTACCCTGCATATAGGGAAGGTGGGGCTCAGTGAGGTTCAATATCTCATGTGAAAGATCAGTTCTGGGGGTTCAAACCCAGGCCTGTCTGAACAAATGGTCCTTCCTACGTTTCACGCTTGGCTAAACCATTCTTTGCTGTGTGTCTTCAATTCATTCAAGAGGACAAGCAGATTTAGCCCCAACCTGAATCTAGCCCGATAATACAGGTTTGCTTTTAGTTTTGGGGTTTTTTTTTTTAAATGTGTTTATTTATTTTTGAGACAGAGTTTCACTCTCGTTGCCCAAGCTGGAGTATAATAGTATGATCTCAGCTCACTGCAACCTCTGCCTGGTGGATTCAAGCAATTCTCCTGCCTTAGCCTTCCAAGTAGCTGGGATTACATGCATGCACCTTTACGCCCAGGTAATTTTGTATTTTTAGTGGAGATGGGATTTCACCATGTTGATCAGGCTGGTCTTGAACTCCTGACCTTAGGTGATCCACCAGCTTCAGCCTCCCTAAGTGCTGGGATTATAGGCATGAGCCACCACATCCAGCCTGTTTTGTTTTTTAGAGACAGGGTCTCGCTCTGTAGCTCAGGCTTGAGTGCAATGGTACAATAATCATAGCTCACTGCAGCATCAAACCCTGGGCTCAAGTGATCCTCCTGCCTCAGTCTTCCAAGTAACTAAGACTACAGGCTTGTGCCACCATGCCAGGATAATTTTTTAATCTTTTTGTAGAAATGGGCTCTCACTTTGTTGCCCAGGCTAGTCTCAAACTCCTGGCCTCAAATAATTCTCCCATTTTGGCCTCCCAAAGGGCTGAGATTACAGGTATAAGCCACCATGCTTGGCCTGCTTTTTTGTTTGTTTGTTTCTTTTCCATTTTGTTTTTTTGGCTCAGACAGAATTTAAATAAAAATTCAAGCCAGGCACGGTGGCTCACGCCTGTAATCCCAGCATTTTGGGAGGCCGAGGCAGGCGGATCATGAGGTCAGGAGTTCGAGACCAGCCTGGCCAACATGGTGAAACCCTGTCTCCACTAAAAATACAAAAATTAGCTGGCTGTGGTGGTTGGCACCTGTAATCCCAGCTACATGGGAATCTGAGGCAGAAGAATTGCTTGAAACCAGAAGGCAGAGGTTGCAGTGAGCCAAGATCATGCCACTACACTCAAGCCTGGATGAAAGAGTGAAACTCTGTCTCAAAAAAAAAAAAAAAAAAAAAAAAAAAATCAATTTGTTGCCAACATTTAAAAATTCATTGATTTCATTGTTTTTCATGAATACTGGGATTTTCCTGAAAAATCACAACATGTGCCAATGCTGGGCTAGCATGTCTCCGTGTCTGCAGAGACTGCTAATGCTGAATGGCCATTATCACCATGGATAGGCCATGGGCTTTCCTGGCACTGCTGCCCTCCCACCCCTGACTAGTCCTGAGGCAGAGGCCAAGAAGACCTCAGTGCCATTTATTACTCATGTAATATTATTTTTCAAGCCCAAGTGAATAACAATAACAGTAGAAGAAACAAAAGACCGTGGGGCACAGCCTCAAGCCATGTGTATGCCCAGCAAGTACATGTAACAAAGTTCAAAGTTTATCTGTGCCAAATCCAACATAAGCCTCACTCACATCAAGACCTGCCTGGTTCCTGGAAACCATCATGTGGGAGCTTTGCACTGGGCCCTATCCACCCAGGTCACTACTATGCACTCAATTTTTGACCACTCACCGAGGGCCCCTGGGGACCAAAGAATGGTGACTGCCACTTGGTCATGGCAAGCATACTGGCTGATGGTGATGTTCTGTGCGTCAGCAATCACGTGCTTCCCCACTGGATTCAGGTAAGTGGTACAGTCTAGAGCGTGGGGAGAATGAGAACAATTAAATTTAAAATTTCATTTTTATTTTCAGGTTCATTATCAAAATAAACAGGACATGTCTGAAGGTGGCCAAATCCGTTCTGTTAAAAATGTATACCTCAAAAGCCCAAATAATACATCAGAGGTTGACTACCGCTTGGAAAACTGTCAGATACTACAGAGGGATGATTTGTCGCACCACCACCACCACCCACTCATCCCATGTTAAATGCCAGGGCAGTGTTGGGAGGATCTTACACAGTGTGGAGTCTGTGTGTGTATCTGGCATGAACTTTTTTAAACCTAAATCAGTAATTATTTACATCAAATCAACCAATTTTCAACATTTCAGAGTGATTTGAGGGAGCAGGGGCTAAGTGGGAATAGCAGGGGTTGGGGGAACTAGGGAGGGATAGCATTAGGAGAAATTCCTAATGTAGATGACAGGGGGAATGGATGCAGCAAACCACCATGGCATGTGTATACCTAGGTAACAAACCTGCACAATCTGCACATGTGCCCCAGAACTTAACGTATTTTTTAAAAAAGCAATATATAGTAAAAAAAACAAATTATTCCTATATAGTTTATTCTTTTGGATGCTATTGTAAATGAATTTTTTTGGTTTCCTTTTAGGACTGCTCACTGCTGGTTTATAGAAGCACAACTGATTTTTGTGTGTTAATTTTGTATCCTGCAATGTTTAATACATTTAATAATTATAGTAGCTTTTTGGCAAATTCTTTGAGATCTTCTTCATATAAGATCATGCCATCTGAGAATAAAAACAGTTTTAATTCTTAAAAAAAAAAAAGTGATTTGAAACAAAAGAATTGCTAAATAACTTGGGCATTGTTTGTTTTTAGAAAAAACCCAGAGGGCCAGGTGATTGGGGGAAAGGAATTAACACAGATGTGAGTTTATAGGAGAGTGAGTCTCAGCAAGACTCTTTACCCATTGAGCACAGGGTACTAACTCAGTGACCAAGTGATAAGGTTGTTAACTAGCGTTGGTCAAAGGTAAAATTTTTGTTCTGAGACATCGTGTGTCATCAAAAATATCAGAAACCCCCAGTAAATCCAAGGCACCCCACGTTGCTCAAAAAACAAAAACCACACCAATCTTTGATTTCATCTGAGGAGGTTACTCACTGCCACCTGTCAAGGTAGCCATAGTAGCTGCACCAGCTGGTCTTGCTAAATACACCTTCAAAATCTGGAAGTTTCTTTAAAAAAAAAATGCCAAAAGCTTCCGGCAGGAATCAGCCTGTGGCTTCAGTGAATGGCCATGAGCTGTTCTGGCCACTCTTGCAGGGAGAACCATTCGCCATCCCCAGCAGACACTACTCATAATTCTTATGCTGCTTTATCCCCATTTCTTTCTCAGTGATCAAACCTGAGCACCCTCTCTTTTAGTATCTGTTGCAAAAGATCATCAGTTCCATCAAACATCCAAACCTGTCCATTACCCCTCTGAAGCCAGGGTGTTTTTCTTTGGGGTAAAGCATTCCAGAGCACTTTGTAAGAAGCTTTGTGAGTCTGCTTTTTTCTCCCTGTAGACGTTACTGCACATTTCCCATTTTTATGACTAAAAATGTTCATTGGAGACATTTAAAAACCACAAAACACTATAAGAAAAATACAAAAGGCATTCATAACCTCTTACCACATGGAGGTGCGATGAACATTCTAATAAATACCCTTCCAAGCCTTAACATGCGCATAATATTCCTCCTTTTAAATGTATTAAACCATAACATACATACACTAAAACGCACCACCCACACTTGTAAAACCCCATCCTTCATGCTGCCTGTGTTCTGCTTTATTGCCTGACAACATTAGGCACACTCCCTTACTCCACTAAACTACATCTGCTTAAAAAACAGTTACATTGGGACTTCATGTTTGGATCCCCTTCCACAAACACTCCCTTCGTGGAAACTGTTTTTCTCTCTCCTGGATTTTCCTTCTGGAGTCCCATTCCACGAACATTCTCTCTTGGAAGCCTGTCTTCCCCTTCTAAACTCCATCTCTCTCTATTCCCTTCCACTCAGTGTGGAAGCTGCTTTCCTCTCCTGGATTCCATCTTTCTGGATTTTCTCACTCAAAGAATTTTAAAAAATTGATGGAACTTAAAAAAAGAGAGACAGTTATATTTACCTTTCTTTTCTTTCTTTCTTTCTTCTTTTTTTTTTTGAAATGGAGTTTCACTCTTATTGCCCAGACTGGAGTACAATGGCGCGATCTCAGCTCACAGCAACCTCTGCCTCCTGGGTTCAAGTGATTCTCCTGCCTCAGCCTCCCAAGTAGCTGGAATTACAGGCATGTGCCAACATGCCCAGCTAATTTTTGTATTTTTAGTAGAGACAGGTTTTCTCCATGTGGTCAGGCTGGTCTCAAACTCCTGACCTCAGATGATCCACCCACGTCAGCCTCCCAAAGTGCTGGGATTACAGGTGTGAGCCACCAAGCTGGCCCGTATTTGCATTTCAATATTACTTCTTTCAAAGGATGTAATTAATATAACCAAATTCTACTTCTAGTGAAAATCACTCTCAAAGCAATCAACATATGTTCTCCGGGAGAAGAAGAGATTTTAGAATAGGAAAAAATTTATAACACCTGGTTTAACATCCTCACTTTACAAATAAGGAAACTGCACCTATGAGAGATCAGCTCTTACCACTTGTATCACAGCACAGAGCTTATTGCTACCAACATGAGTTCTGAATCAGAGGTGTTCCACCTGCAAAACTCCTGGCTGAGACCAGCTTCCCAAAATAAAATAAATAAATAAATAAATTTTAAAAAAAGCAAAATCCTGTCATACTTGTAAAGTTCAAATATTTTGGTTTATTGTAGTCTATAATGAAAGAGAAACCTTGGAAACAAACAGCTCTGAAAAGACGCATGAACAAATCATGGTTGTTGTTGTTGTCATTGTTTTCTTTGTTCATTCCTAATGCCAAAATTAACACTGTTTGGGTTTCTGTAAATACAATTATGAAATATAGAGTCTAAGAATTTTGTTTTGTTTTTTTTGAGACAGAGTATTGCTCTGTCTCAGAGAGTCGCCCAGGCTGGAGTGCAGTGGCATGATCTCAGCTCACTGCAACCTCTGCCACCTGGGTTCAAGCAATTCTGTTTCTGCCTCCTGAGTAGCTGGGACTACAGGCACATGCCACTGTGCTCAGCTAATTTCATATTTTTAGTACAGACAGGGTTTCATCTTACTGGTTAGTCTGATCTTGAACTCTTGACCTCAGGTGATCCACCTGCTTCGGCCTCCCAAAGTGCTGGGATAGGCATAAGCCACCACACCCAGCCAATATAAAGTCAAGAAAATTTAATATAACCTACTTGGGCATACCCCGCCCCCCCTCTCCCCGGAATGTAAAGGAAAAAACATAGAATTCAAGGCCAAAGGAGGCAGACAGACTTGTAAAATTTAATTTTGACTTAATGGAAAAACATTTTTTTCCTTTATAAAGTAAATGACAAAGAAATAGAAAAATAGGATTTTTAGTAATTTTGTTGAAAACCCAGTAATTGGTTATTAGTTATTTCAAACAAGTTACTTCAGTTGACTAGTAACCAGTCAACTGAGCAATAACAGGAACTTCCTTGTGGAAGACAGAAATATCTTTTTCAATGGAAAATATGAAATAAGTTTTTCTACACAGCCTGGATCCAATTATTAGCAAGTTCAAAGTTTTGGATTCTGGTTACAAAAACTTTATGCCCAAATGACATTTTACCAAAATGCAACTGAGCTTCAAACGTCTCAGGAGTCAATACAAGCTGCAAATTATATTCTAATTAAATGTTGAAGAATTAGAAAGAAAGTAATGACTAAGAGACAGGCATAGATATGTGACCAAATATTTGGTATCATGAAGAAAACAGCAAGATACTTTAAAATTTTACAGATAGAGATCCTCTTTCACAAACCCCCCCTTTATTTTTTTGAGATGGAGTCTTGCTCTGTCGCCAACCTGGAGTGCAGCGGTGTGATCTGGGCTCACTACAACCTCTGCCACCTGGGTTCAAGCAATTCTCCTGCCTCAGCCTCCTGAGTAGCTGGGATTACATGTATGAGCCACCAGGCCTGGCTACTTTTATATTTTTAGTAAAGACGGAGTTTCATCATGTTGGTCAGGCTGGTCTTGAACTCCCAGCCTCTGGTGATCCGCCCGCCTTGGCCTCCCAAAGTGCTTGGATTACAGGCATGAGCCACTGCACCCAGCTTACAATGTAACAATTTTAAGATACAAATGTGTGTGTCAGATTCACACCCACTGTTGCTGGCATGGCTATTTTAGGCTAACCAGTGAGGACTTATATGTGTAACTCAGGCTGTTCACGTCGGTGGTGTGTATATGTTCTGAGTAAATGCTGAGACGCTAATGAAAGATTGGCACATCCATGATACTTGATTCAGCTAGGTAAAGACATGTATAAGGGATCTTTTCTTTGAGTTACAAAGTGAACTTCTAATATGTGCTCTTGGTCCCAGCAGATCTTACATTACATTCAAGAGTCCGAAATTTTCCCATCAGCTGCAAACAAGCACTTGTATCTCTAATTTAATATGAGGTTTGTGGTAGGGTGCGGTGGCTCATGCCTATAATCCCAGCACTTTGGGAGGCCAAAGTGGGCGGATCATGAGGTCAGGAGTTTAATACCGGCCTGGCCAACAAGGTGAAACCCAGTGTCTACTAAAATATGAAAAATTAGCCGGGCGTGGTAGCTTGTGCCTGGAATCCTAGCTACTTGAGAGGTTGAGGCAGGAGAATCACTTCAACTCAAGAGGCAGAGGTTGCAGTGAGCCGAGATCATGCCATCGTACTCCAGCCTGGGCAACAAGAGCGAAACTTCGTCTCAAAAAAAAAAAAAAAAAAAAAAAACTGTTAGAGTGTAACCACAACTTTTAAAATCCTGCTTTAGCAGTGATTATTCCAAAGGCCTTAATGCAAATAAGCCCTTTACTTACATTGATTCATAACCCTGTCCAAGAGATTAATCAGATGCCAGAAATCACTAAATATGAGTCAAGTTCCTTCTTGTCATTTTTACTTATAAATTATGGCTCATAAAGCCAAAATTGACACAATTCTATACAACTACTTTTTTTATGAATGAAAGAAGGTGCTTAGAAAAAGTACCCCCATGCCCTTAGAAAACAATTCAGAAACAGTCACCCTTTCTTGGGAGAAAGGGCAAAAAATGGTGCTTGTATTCCAACTCCAATTGGACTGACTTCTATATTTATAGATATCAATTACTAAGTGTACACCGTAGCTCCCAGGTTGAGCAGTTATAAGCATTACCTCATTTAAACCTCAAAACGATGCTAGAAGAAGGAAACTTAATTTTTATTTTATACAAGAAAACTGAAGGCTGGAGAAGTCAAATCACCAGCCACAGCTCATAGAACTGATAGGTGGCACCAAGCACAGTGGCTCACACCTGTAATCTCAGCATTTTGGGAGGCAGAGGCAGGCAGATCACTTGAGGCCAAGAGTTCAAGACCAGCCTGGCCAACATGGTAAAACCCTGTCTCTACTAAAAATATAAAAACTACCCAGGCATGGTGGCATCCATCTGTAATCCCAGCTGCTCAGAAGGCTGAGGCATGAGAATCATTTGAACTCGGGAGGTGGAGGTTGCAGTGAGCCAAGATCACACCACTACACTCCAGCCTGGATGACAGAGTGAGACTCTATCTCAAAAAAGAAAGAAGAAAGGAAAGACAAGAAAGAAAGAAGAAAGGAAAGAAAGGAAGGAAGGAAGAAAAAGAAAGAAAGGAAAGAAAAAAAGAAAGAAAGAAGAAAAGGAAAGAAAAGAAAAAAAACCTGATAGATGGGGAACTGGGGTTGGAGCCCAGGTCTGGTCAGCAATGACCAACCAACTGCAGACCTCTGGCCAATCTGAGACCCAGATTCACACAGATTCACCTTATGTGAATTTCAAACAGATTCACTCTGTGTGAAATTTTAAAAATAACTGCTGTTATTAAAAAATGTTTACACAAAAAGCACAAATTTCCCACTATTCTTGGAAATCAATTTGCTACCTTCAGTGAGAACTCCTCATGGCCACAATATTTGGAATTAAGGAGTCAATGCTACCCTCAGGGTAGACATGAGCTATCCAGTTTGCCATCGTCTCCACCATTCCCTAGCACCCTGCACTGGGGCAACTTTATGTGTTCCCTGCTGGGCCATACTGGCAGCTATGTCCTTAACAACAAACAAATGCAGATAAACCCCAAGGAACATAGGGAGGGTCTCCATACACACCTTTTCTAAACACTATGGAAGACACTTGACCTGGTCAAGCTCTCAAATACTTGAGTGGCTTGAGACTGAGCTGCCTTAGCTGTTGACAAACCTGAACAGGTTCAGAAAATTCCTCAAGTCCAAGACTGCAGCGTCCTTGATTAAGCATGGCTATGTCATCTTTAGATGACTCAAAGGGCTCCATTCTTCAGCAATAAAGGAGGTTACTTACTGTCATACTTGAAGGTGATGTTGTGCAGCCCACTGTTTCTGCTGGCCGGCCCCACTCCCTGTGGGAAAACAAGAGAACATGATGCAGAGTGAAGCCAATTTGCTCTTCCAGCACAGATCCCCATGGAATCCAAACACAGGCAGTACTGCTGAGACCCAGGGTCATGCCAGTCCCCGGGCATTGTACCACCACTATTTCTGCCCACTTCATGGTCCCCCACAGCTGCCAGACTCCTGCCAGCCCAGGAGATTCCTAACTGCCAGGCCAGAGGGATCATGAGCATTTACTTCCCCTAAAACAATAGAGGAATGCTGTTCTATGTTTAGGGGTTAAATAATAATTCATTAACAGTAAAACTGGGAGAAAGACCAAGAGCTGCCAGATGGAACCCTTCCAATTAGATCCACTTTGAGCACTGATTGGTTATAAAATGCGCCTACTCCAGACGTCCTCATCCACAAGCGCTATTAAGTCACGACAGATAGGCAATTCCTCAAGTCTAGGGAAACCAGTTTCTCATTCCAAGAATGGGAAGGAGTGTGGGAATAAGCTGTTACTTTTAATGAGAAAATTCTTCACTTCATCCATACCTATGCTTGGAATACACAGGGTGGGTCATAAAAGAAAAAGAAAAAGGACTTTAAAAGGCCTCTTACTCTTGGTGATGTGGCCGTTAGCCATCTGCACTCTTAATAGCAGGGCTAACAACTGTGCCAGACTTCCTACGTTAATTATAGCATCCACAGAGTGAGCCCCAGAATCCTCCCGTTGACCCCGCCTTTTCCTAACCCACCACTTAACCATCATGAGAAAAAGCAGCTACAGATCTACCAACTCCCATTTAACTGTTTCTGTAATACTCTGCAAACATGCCATTTAGCATTAATTGCAGAATTCTCCAAAATACGTTAATTCTGAAATACTAAATGATGGGAAAATATTCCAGCCACACAGCTAAAGCTTCCACTTAACAAGAAGGATGTTGGAGGGAACCATATGCTGGCAGCCTGGCATTTAACGGGCAATTGTTACACCGAAACACAATGTGGAGAACACTTCTGATGGAGCCCAGGGTTTTAGGTCACAACCACATGACATCCATATGCCACAGGCATGTTCACGCTGCTTATCCTAAAGCCAGGCACACCCACTGAAACTGTATCCCTGAACCCAGATATACATGGGCTTTGGGAAAGCACAGCTGGGCAGATAGAGGCACATGGACACACCTACCCCCACCCTCCACTCTAAGGTGAGGAATAAGTAACAGAAAGCCTAAATCCACATGGCATACCAGCCCACAATCTACTGGGGCTCCCCTTCTTCCTAGCTCACCTTCTTCTCCAGCTTTCCTCCTTGTAGCCTTTCTTCCCCTGATATACAAGATTCTAGAATTTGCCACCTGAACTGAAACACTTTGGAAAATGCTGTTAACTTATTAAAATCCTAAGAGTGTCTCTAACTGCTTAGGGACAAGACCACAGTCTGTGCAACTAAAGGCTGCTCAACCTACAGATGGCAGACACCAGAGTAACACAGGCAGGTAGGAGCCCAGGAACAAGACAATCCAATCCCCCACAACCTTTGGCCTTTGCCCAAGACCAACGCTCAAGCTCCCCATACCACACCCTTCTGTGCTCTTATAAACCCCCAACACATAAACTCACTCCCCATCTATTAGGAGCCAGACATCATGTTAGCTCCAATGGCAAACAAAACAGCCGCTGTCCCCACCCTCATGAAATAAATTAACATGGAATTCATTCTTTCAAAGAAGGGTAACTAGGCACGTGGATTATACCCTAGGCATGCAGATAAATTTCAAATCATACGCTGGCCCTCCAAGAATGCCCAGTTTAGATGGCAAAACAAGGTATATATAGCAAGGATAAAAGAGCTTGGTGTAAGTACAGTGTATGAAATGCCCCAAGACAGCCCTTGAGTAAGGATGAATGAAGGATGGGTAAGACCACAGGTTCCAAAAGCTTAACAGGGGGAAGGATAACTAGGCTAGAATGAAGAGGAAAGCAGAGCAGCATCATGGGAGGAAAGAAAACTGTAATCCAGAAGCCAAGGTTAGTACCTTAATCCTCCCATCCTCTACCAGATGCCCTATGGCAAACCACTCTACTCTAGGGGTCCCCAACCCCAGGGCCCTGGACTAGTCCTGGTCCTTGGCCTGTTAGGAACGGGCTGCACAGCAGGAGGTGGGCAGCAGGTGAGCGAGCATTACCACCTGAGCTCCACCTCCTATCAGATCAGCAGTGGCACTGGATTCTCAGGAACACAAACCCTATTGTGAACTGTGCATGCAAGGGATCTAGGCTCTGTGCTCCTTATGAGACTCTAATGCCTGATGATCTGAGGTGGAACAGTTTCATCCCAAAACCATCCCCTACTGAACCCCCAGTGCATGGAAACATTGTCTTCCATGAAACCGGTCCCTGGTGCTAAAAAGGTTGGGGACCACTGCTCTACTCCACTGGGTCTGGGTTTGGGTCTAGGTCTGGGTCTCCTCAACTGCCTTTTTTTTTTTTTTTTTAAGAATTTACATGGCTTCCCTCTAGGAGGTAGTTTTGAGGAGGATTAAATGAAGCCTGGTACAGGATGGACTTTTGAAAAAGGAAACATATTCCATCTAATACCATGCTCCCTGGTGCATAGGGATCCTGGTGACCAATCAATCACCTTGTCAGACTTAGCTTTTTTTTTGTTCCAGTTTCCCTTATATCTCTTTTGTTTCCTCTATATTCCTATTGCAATATGTTATTCACAGATATTTATTGGGCAATGGCCAACGCACTGTGGAAAGGAACCCATGACAGTGAGGCGTGCCATGACATGCATGCGAGAACCTAAATCCCTCCAAACAGAGTCTCAGTGGTGTGTGTGGAGCTGTTCAGAGGGGGGCCCGGTGAGCTGGCCTGGAAGGACAGTGAGGCTTACCTGTGACATCCACTCACTCTCTGCTGAGCATTCCACCTTGGCTTAAGACTCACAAAGCTGGGCACTCAGCTATGAAGCAGACTCAGGACTTGACCTTAAGGGGCTCTGGCCACATGCAGTTTGGCCCTTGCTCCCCTGCTCCGAACCCTTCACTGGCTCCCTGTCCCTCCACATTATTCCTGATGTGACACCTGCCTACCTTCCCAGTCATTCCCCTTCGCACCTTTTAAACCGTTTGGACACTGCAGTTCTGCTTTGAAAATGTCCTCGGGCATGCCTGCATTCTCAGAATCCCCTCCTCTTCTCTTCCTATCGTTCAGGTCCCACTCCCCTGGTGGGCTGCTTGCTGCATCACACCGTGTTCCTGACACATCGGTCTGCCTGCTACTCACTTGATGGGAGCACGGTAATTCATTCCCACAATTTGGGTAGCATGGCACTTTTAGGGATAGAGATGCAAAATGATAATTCCAATTCCACAGAAAATCAGAGATTCTAAGAGGCCATCCAAGCCTGGTCATGGTGCTCAGAAGCAGGAGACACCATCCCAGGTATCAGTTCTTACATGAATTTTAAAGACTTTTCGGCCAGGCATGGTGGCTCACGCATATAATCCCAGCACTTTGGGAGGCTGAAGTGGGTGGAGTCAGGAGTTCAATACCAGCCTGGCCAACATGGTAAAACACCGTCTCTACTAAAAATACAAAAAATTAGCTGGGTGTGGTGGCAGGCGCCTGTACTCAGCTACTCGGGAGGCTAAGGCAGAAGAATCACTTAAACCCAGGAGGCAGAGGTTGCAGTGAGCCAAGATTGTATCATTGCAGTCCATCCTGGGGCAACAAGAGTGAAACTCCATCTCAAAAAAAAAAAAAAAAAAAAAATACCTTTCACTCCTGGAAGTTCTCAAGTGCACAGCTTCTCAGCACATGCATGGCAAATGCTCTATCAGGCTGTCCTTGTGTCAACACCCAAATAATGCTTCAGCTGCTCTAGAGCCCTCAGAAACCATCTTAGCAATGGTATCCCAGGCTAGCCCATGGTGCACTTCTATTTTCTTTACACCTCATGATAGAATCATAGTCCCTAAACATGTCCACAGTCTAGTCCCCATAACCTGTAACTATGCTATTTTACAGAGCAAAAGGAACTACAGAGATGTAATTAAGTTCAAGTATCCTGAGATAAGGAGAGTATTCTGGGTTATCTAAGTGGGCCCAATAACCACAAGAGTCTTTATAATAGGGAGACAGAAGAGTCAGAATCAGAGAAGGACATGTGACAATGAAAGCAGGAGAGAGAGAGAAAGAGATCAATTTGAAGTACGTCCTGGTTTTGAGGATGGAGGAAGGAGGGGCTGAGGAGCCACAGAATGCAGGCAGCCTCTGGAGACTGAGAAAGGCAAGGAATGGATCCTCCCCCACAGCCTCCAGGAGACAGCTCAGCCAACACTTTGATTTTAGCCACATTAAGATCCATTTTAGAATTATGACCTCCAGAACTATAATAAATGAAGGTTTCGGTAATTTATTACAGCAGCAACTAGAAAGCTAATATACACTCATATAATTTCAGCTGCAATATGGATAAAACAGATCTATCTCTATGTCACATACACACGGCAAGTGCTGTCATTCCCCCACCCTGCCCCCAACACCCACAACTGATCCCTTGTCCCTGCATTCTCCCCAGTCCAAGCTTCAGGCAGGCATAGAACATGGACCCATCAGTGCTGCTGCTTGAGATTCTGCTACCCTAGATGCAGGCTTCTGTGGGCTGACCTGGAGCAGAGAAGTGGTTAAGACAATGGGTTTTGGAGTTACGCAGATGTGTGTTCAAACCACCACCTTTCCAGCTGTGTGACTCTGGGTAAATTTCTGAGCTTCCCTGAGCTGTAAGTGTTTGAATAGGCTGAGTGCAGTGGCTCACACCTGTAATCCCAGCACTTTGGGAAGCCAAGGTGAGTGGATCACCTGAGGTCAGGAGTTCGAGACCAGCCTGGCCAATAGGGTGAAACCCTATCTGTATTAAAAATACAAAAATTAGCTGGGTATGGTGGCGGGTCTCTGTAATCCCAGCTACTTGGGAGGCTAAGGTAGGAGAATCGCTTGAACC